CTCCTGCTCCTGCTCCTGCTTCTCTCTCTGCCTCTGTTCGTCTTCCTCCGTTACTCCGTAGACATTACGAAGGAAAGACAAGCTTTTTCCGTGCGCCTCTAACCCCTCAATCAGTGAGAGCGTCATAGAGACGCACGGCTCCTCCAGCCCTGAGATATCTAGCTGGGAAGGTGTCTGTGGGTCTTCCACAGCGGAAGTGGAGGCGTCCTCACTTCTTGTTTTTAGTTTTTCTATTTCCTCGACAGGTAGAGCTGCAAGTCTCCGCAGTTTGGGCAAAGGCGGCTGAAAACAAAATACATACTTATAAACATTTCTACATTTATGAATATAAAAACATTTTTTTTTTAAATGAAACAAAAATAAAAAACCTACCTGTATCACTACATCCTGGAGGATGTTAATTTTTGGTTTCTTGAGACTCATGGAATACTTAATTTTTTTAACAATTAACACTTAACACTAACAGACACAGAATTAAGACAAACAATTACGAGTCCCTATGCAAAATATGTAGGAAAAATAATGCAGAATATGCAGAAAATAAATGGAGAAGAAGGGTGAAATGCCAAATCAGCAGTTTTTCATGTCCATATATGGTCATTTAAAGATTGATTGCAATGAAGTAGAAGGGCGAAATGTCAAATCAGCAGTTTTTCATGTCCATATATGGTCATTTAATAATTTATTGCAATTCAGCAATTCTTCAAACTATTTTCGTGTGGATCGCAATTCAGCAATTTTTTGGTATGTAAGGAGGTGACTTTTGTACGCATGTGAGTTCAGTTCACACATCAGACATGTTCTCATTAAAAAACAGAAGTTTCATTTCTCGCAATCTTGATATATCTTCACTGAATGAAGAAAAACGTTATATCATTCAAGCAGTCGAAAGTTTGTTACATCAAAAATTTCGGTCGTCCAGAACTTTCATGGCTGGGGGATGTGCAGCGTTTCTCTTAGGTCTTCTTATACAGACATCGATATTTACGTCGAAACAGATAAAAATACACAAAAATTGGCTAATTTGTATTTAATATTATTTTTGTTGAACATCGTCTACAATTTTCGTTGGAGGCCAGAATTCTATGTATTCTTAAATCGTTCGACTTAACCGCGTGCAAAGTGGCAATATACTTTTCAAGTGGAATAAATCCTGTTCTTGTAGAATGGAAATTAACTGACGTGAACTTCAATAATGTCAAGAAAAAGGATCGCATCAGTAAGTATAAGAAAAGAATTGAGAAAAAGGAAAAGGAACAACGATTCGATCCCAACAGTTTGTCTATGTTGGCCTATACCGTCGTGGTAGATCATGATGACTCATATCGTGCTGCTAGACAAATACTTTGAAAGATATTTATATAACTTAATATTGTTATGTTGAATCATTGTATATTTTCATATTCCTATATCGTAGTGTTGATTCCGTTAGATAAATATGTAAGAGGATATTAAATAAAACACACAAAAGTAACTAATTGTTTTATTGAACCCACATGTTTATACATTTTCAAACATTTATTAAACTATTGAATTTGCTACAATGAGTGAAACAAATTAGTACTAAATAAAGTAACACATACAAAAATAATTGCTCCTGCGGAAGTATATATCCAAATCAATGGTTTTGTCAAACGATATCTTGTAGCATTTTCGCTAAAATTTTTGGAACCACTATAATCGCCAATAATGGTGTAATTAGGTGACTTGCAGCGGCTTTTGTTTCTTAAGACAAATGATAGTTTATACTGTAGTGGGATCGATGTATCGATAATATCAGGAATATTGTGACAAACCATACACGAGCATTTCTTAAACAAAAGTCCATGTTCTCCTTGGAATTAGTATCGCTGTTACTATTTAGAGAGGTAGCTTGTAGAGATGGTAAGTTCTGGTAGGGTGGTATGAATTAACGAGTAGACAGACAAAAACAAAACATTATTTTTGTTTATTTTTCCCGAACACAGCGTTATAAAAATTTATTGATGTCTTGTCGAGCATCAAGTCATCCTTCAACGATGGAACGTACGTCCCACTGACGTCGTCGTCCCAATTTTCGAGTGATGTTACTTTTGGGGGTTCAGAATTGAACCAATTTGATGGTTGAGATGGTATTGGTGGTGATGCTTTGGGAAGTGCAGCTTCTCGGAGCTGTCGCTCCTTTTCCCAAGCCTCCCGATAACACCTAAATATATGCTTTTGGAGTCTCCCCTCTAGCATTCGATGACTCCTATCGTATGGGCAAACTGTAAAATCCTCTAAACAAAACAAAAAATAATAAAAATATAACCTTACCCATGTCCCTGGATATCTATTGGTTAATTCTAGTTAATCAGATATAATCATTTCTTCCATGTGGTCTTGAATTTATATACGAAATTAATCCCTTTTTTACTCTTTTGATGTTTTTTTTACTGATTTTTGATGGCTGGTTATAGGTTTTTGATTTTTTTAATGATTTTTTGTTGTTTTCATATAAAATTCAACAAAAAGCGGTTTTTGTTTAACTTGAATTTTTTTTTTAATGTCTTAGTATATTTAGTTGTGATGGTAGTAGTCATATAAAAATAAATATAAAGAATATAACATATTTCGCTTTTTTTTTAAGTGTTGCATGTTGGGCTTATTTGAATCCTTTTTCGATGGTCCTTTTTTCGACCTCAAAAAATTTTTACGCAGCGACCTCGAAAAAACTAAAAATGGCTCCTGTATCAAGGCCGGCGTGGTCAGAATCGATTTTTTTGAGCAAACTTATGCGTGCGTTCCAGAAGAAGCTTTTGATGTATACAACCGATATTCTATTTCTTACCATTTGCACACTAGAAACTTTTGCCCTTTTCTCCCTTATTTTCAACTTTTTTCAAAATTTTTTTTCTTCAACATATGCCTTAATTTTTTTAGCTTTTGCCCGTTCCCCTGCGCCGACATGCTACCTCTTACCGCTTGCGAACTATGACGTTTTTTCGTTATTACTACTAAACGGTAGCAAAAAATATTACACCTATGACTCATATTTATTTTTGGTTGCGGTAAGCTAGTAGTAGTTTTTATGGAAAAACAAACTTTTCAAAATTTCGATAATTTTTTTTTGAGATTTTTTCTTTTCAATGTTTCTTTATATCCTTTGGATTTTTTTAATTTTTTTTTTCACCAAAACTTCTAATTTGCTTGCCTACTGCTCAAGGAAAACTTATTGTCGAATTCTGACAACCTTTTACACCTCTAACCGACATTTATATTTACACAAATGTATTATTAGTTTATAGGGATGCATTTTTTTTTAACAAACTTTCTGCCCTTTGGCACCCTCAAGCGATAATTCTTTTTTTTAATATTTCCGAATACGTCCCTGTCTAATGAGATAAAAGCGTCCAGTTCCGTAAGAATTTGCTGAAACAGCATCGCGTTATTTAATTCTTTGTTGTAATAATGACGGGCGGCGTGTTTCGGTTTATGAATTTTACCGTGAAAAGATTTGGGAAAAAGATGGTTTTGTTGAACTAAATGGTGGCTTCTGTGAAGTGTGCGTGTGTATGAATGTTTTCGAGGGAGAACGGATAATTTTATTGCCTGTTTTCAATGCCGTAAGTAACAATTTTTTAATTTTAAACAACACACTCGCTTTCTGACATTTGAGATTTTATTCTAATAATCACCGACAAATAAGCTTAAATCGGCAGAAACTTGCTGATGAACATTTATTTATTAAGAAAATAACCGGAGTTTTTTCGGAACAAACACGGCTTTTATTCGTTGCGGTTATTCGCAATTAAATAATTTTGTATGAGACTGGGGAAAATAATACACCAAACGAAATAAACAATATTTATTATAATTTCAATTACAGCTTAAGATTATACAAACTAGTTCGTATTTTATACATTTTAAGAAACTAATAAGTTTTAAATTTAAATCTAATTTACGACGCAGTGGTTTAACCGCAATATGCACAGTTATTTAACCAATTTTCTTTGCTGAATAATTTACAATTCTGAATCCAATTTTTCGATTGTTTCTCTAAATTTTCGCTTCTTCTCCATCATTTTTTCGATTAAGGGCTTTATTTGCAATTCGAAACGTTCCACATTCATTTGAAATCTTTTAACATTGTATAACCAAGTATTAATTCGGCTTTCTTTATCATTTATTAAGAAAATAACCGGAACTTTGTCGAAACAAACACGTCTTTTATTCATGACGGTTTGCAATCAAATATTTTTTATGTACCAAGTCAGTAAAATGATTCTTTATTGAACGAGTAATAGGCGAGTTCGATAAAGATCCTTTACTGACGTGGTGCATACAAATTTTTATCGCCAACCTTAAAAATTTATAATTAAAAATAATGGAAATGTTATGACTTATCACATTTTATTATGACAGTAAACGTATAATAACAATGAGTCAAAAGATATCTACTTATTACTTGTTATATTAAATGTAAATGTACAACGGATTATAAAAATTGAGTCCTGAAGTCGAAGGAGTTTGAAGTGAAAATGTTTGAGGATTAGCCGTGCTAATAATTTCATTAGGTGAATCTTGAGTAAAATTATCATTGGTAACAAATATGTTGTCAGTTTGACTTTCACCTAAAATTGTCTCTGCGATTTTCTTTTTATTGGGCACAGATTTCTCAACATAGGACTCTGCAATCGTATCAGAACTTTTCTCGTTGGAACCGTGACAGTGACAGACAGAATGTCATACAGTCATGGTTATGTTGACAATTATGAGCAGCAGGTAAAGTGCTTGATTTTTACAGTAAAATAAAGTGTTTGTTTACTTCCGAAAATCGCTATGGTAATGCATGTCTCTATTGCCGGTTGGCGATAAATAACTATTACATGAGACTGGGGAAAATAATACACCGAACGAATTAAATAATATTTATTATAATTTCTGTTACAGCTTAAGATTATTCAATTTAGTCTTTATTTCATACATTTTAATTGCTTCTTTTAAAGAACTAATTCGTTTTAAATTCTTTCTTCATTCTTCGATAAATTCGATATTGATGGTTTGACGATTCGGAGCTCTATTTACCACGTACAACTTCAAGCCGTTCACGATCTTGTGGTTCAGATCGCTGATCACTGAGTCGGTGAATTTTTCGATAAGACTCTGTGGAAGTATTGTTCTAGACTCTTCAAGTTGCACAAATATCTTGTCACCGTACTTTGTAGACAGTTTACTAAAATTTTTTGTTAAAAATTTTTTATTTTGGCACTCACAAAAGCTTGCAAGTGAGACTCTTTATTCAAGGTAGAAATGAAAGATGACATTTCGACTTTACAAAGTGTTAAATAATTGAATTAAAAAAACTAATTAATTCCTACAGACGAATACATCGACTTTTATACAAGTATAAAATGGAAGTGGGGATGTGAGATTGCGTCCGAGTGTAAGATCCCTCCCCAACCTAAAAGAAAAGAGGGGATAGAACTCGAGATTGAACGACCTAGACCTAAGAGGTCGATAAACGACCAAGGTCAGCCACGTGTAGCGACTAGGTCAACAACAGACCAAAGCTCAATGATCGCCCGATGAAACGTAATGGGGGAGCTGGCTCAGCTTGACCTGATTTGACCTGGCATAGAATCCCGACCCGACCAAGGTAAGCCACGTGCAGCGACTAGGTCAACAACAACCCAAAGGTCAATGACCGTCCAATGAAAAGTAATGGGGGAGCTGGAGCAGTTTGACCTCATTTGACCTGATCTAGAACCCCCCCTATATAATACCTACTCTATGTGTTATAATAATTTCACTAAACGTAGTGAAATTTATTTTTTAGACGACTTGTCTTGAAAGTGACACATATCAATATTGTAGCCTACTTTAGAAAGTTGAAAATTTCAGAGACCGATGCGGATATGAAATTTATCATGCACGGTGCATGATAAGAGTTAGTAGAGTTATGTTTACAAAGTTCATCAAGACAATTCAGTTTTATTGAAATTTTAACATTGTCAAACAATGATCAATTACAAATTTATTGCCTTTCGTTAAGTAAATTGAAGGTTACATTACTGAAAGAACAGTTATTGAAATTTATTGGACTTCTGGGACTTTTCAAAATCATCCAGTAAACCTGCCACGGTTGTTGAGGATGTTGTAAAAATTGAGGTGGATGGCAACATTTGACTATCGGAATCATCTTGTGGGCGATTTTCAGACGAATTTCTTATGGCTGTAATGATTTTGTCAGCCACTTTTATTTTGTGTCCAATGGATGTAACCTTCCGCAACAGAAGTAGAAACCCATCCTCCGTGACGCTTAAGATCTTCCATACTGCCATCTGCATCCATAAAAATTGTAGACAATGATCGCCTCAGACAGTGGCCTGTGAAAGCTGCAGGCTGTTCTAAACCCAAATTAGCAGCAATTAGTTTGGGTATACCACTAATTTTGTTAATTCCCACGGGTTGTTTAGTGCATTTGGAATTCTGATAGTTTAAAAACAGCCGACGTTCAGTCATGGTTGGCTTCAACTACTGATGGAGGTGCGAGTTGTAAAACATCGTCTTCGTTATCGCTAACCATCTGCATCTGCATTAATTCTTCTAACAAATTCATTTAAAATTCATTTGTGCAATACTAGTTGGACAAAATGACAAAACTGTCGAAACAATTAAATTTTCAAAACAGTAAAGAATCCATAGCAACGTGCTCGTGGCCAACATGAATAAAATTAAAAAATGGTGTCGCTTGTTTTTAAACATTTTATGCATACAAAAATAATGCTTATTTTCTTGTTCAAGTCGTCTAAAAAATAGTGTTCACAACTCGTGTTGAAAGTGACTATCATGCTCGTGCTTCTTTATCCGAACTTGGCTTCGCCTTGTTCGTCTAACTGCACTCACATGATATCTTTCACTTTCGACACTCGTTATGAAATATACTATTTCCATCTTCAATTGAACACACAGAACACAACACGATTAGGTATTATTTGACAAATATTTTGCAAAAAACTTGTTTATGTTTAAACAATTGCATTCGCAATACCTACTACTCAACGATATGATTTTCGAATGTGCTGCGATTTATAAATATGACGAAAATCTTAATTGCTGAAAGATCTAAAAGACGCCGTTAGGAAAAACATGGACTCGTTTCGGAATCGCTGACTTCCCACACTTGTTAGGAAAATACCTATTTTTGCTGTTGTCATTACGGAGGAGCTAGCTGCTAGATGGTATAACTGTGTTATCATCTTTTAACTTCCCCTCAGTGTTTAATGAAATAAAAGGTATGTTCTGCCAACTGTCGTGAAAATAATCAGATTTTGAATGTGCTGTGTTTTTATGAAAAGGGGGTAAAGTAGAAAAAATACTATATGATACTCGTTCATACATTTTTTCGCACTTATAAAACTCGTATCATAAAATACTATTTTCTCACTAATAAAAAAATAATGTTGAGTAAATGTTCATTTTCAAATAGTTGGTTCATGATATTTATTTAATATTAAGGCGGCCACACACAGAGAGAGGGAAGACTGCGCAGTTAAAAGTATGCACGCTTGTCTTAAGTAAAACCCGTACTCTCTCATTGCACACACACACTCATACTTCCCCGTCAGTTCTGTAACAAATGTGCATCGCAATGCTAACGAACAAAAATGTTTATTTCATTACAGTGACGTGCATTTGTATTATATAAAAAAAATATAATCAGACGTCATTTAAAAATACGGCGCTAATGAATTAAAACTCAAGCGTGCAGCGACTTGTCTCCACACGCACGGGGTTTTCCCCGCGCAGTTATAACGCTTTAATTGTTGTCAATAAAAAAATTAAAATGAAATTAATTTTACGATGCTGGTAATATGCTACATGGGGATATTATACCTCGTACAAGTTATAGAAATAAATGCGGGTGTTTACTGGCGAATCAGATCGTCCGGAGAAGAAGGGTATCTAATTAAAATTTTAAAAGGTAAGAAAGATAACCAAATATTGTTAAGGGAGGGGATAAAGAAAGCATAGTTATAAAAGGGAAACAAGCTGTACTACATTAAAATGCTCTTTTGTAAGGTCTGCCTATAAGTAATAATAATAATAAGAGTATTGTAGGTCAGAGTTACGAGATCACGGTTGTTACTGGATAGCAGGTATGAGGTGTTCGCCAGACACCTCACCGTACTCATATTACCACCATATGTGTAGTAATTAAGTTAATCTAAGTTGGTAATGAAATGGGGATAAAAATTAAAGATCCAGTGTATGTAGAATTTAGGTAAACATAGGTGCATTTTTATTGCAACGAATTAACATCATTTTCTTTATGTCCCATGGGATACCACAACGAGAGACAAACGACAACGTCCTGGAAACATCGAACTATCCTAGTAGTAGGGCACAGGGAGGAGTAGGGTCACTTTTGAGCATCACTTTCGAGAAGAGCGGACGCGGGGCGACGAGTCCGTCAATGAGCCCACATTTGGAGATGAACGATCCACATTTGACAACAAACTAAGAAGAATCCGATCTTGTTGAAAACTAATTTCGCTTGTCCACAACGTAAAGAGTCTTGTAAGTGATATCCTTTGGTCGCCACTAATTTTCAATTTTCATTGGTCCAGACTTTGAAGAAGAATCGAAGTGGGAATGCGTAGCGGACGAAATTCCTGAACAGAGCTGAAAAACAGGGAAAGAAGATGGGATGGCAGATGATCTGAAAAATTCGCGACTTGTAGAAACTAGTGATAGTGAAACGAAAGAGAACAGGAATCGACATGAGTCAGGGCAACTTGCAGAAATTAAGTGGCATCTCACCGTGTAAACAAGAGCAAAATTAGGGTAGAATTGTAAGATGTTAGGGTAGCCTAATTTTAGGAAATTATTGTCGGGACGATAATCTTGAAGGGCCGGCAAATGTGACAATTAGCATCAAGTTGCAAAAAGTAAGTTTGGTTGATGCCAGGTATTTCGCCAAAAACGACGAAATGCTTGGGCCGGCAGAGGGTACCTGGAGAATAGCAAATCGAGGACATATTATTAGACAATTGAAAGTGTAGCGGGCTTGACGAAAGTTCGCGGGTGGGATTGTGCGTGTCCCTCAAGACTTTCGTACAATATGAGAATGAGGATGTAGGTATGAAAGTCAATATATAAGTTTTGTACTTAGGTTAGATAATAATAAATCTTAGAATAGGAGATACAGTTTTTGATCACAACATCTCCTATGGTCTCAGGAGGTGGAGACATGGTGAAATGCTTGAACAAGAGAACGACAGAAAACGAACAGAAACAGGGAAGATTTTAAGAAGAAGTAAACAATATAATAATAATAATAATATTTATTTATCTAACAGTAGCTTTACACTCCACAATTACAGGATAAATGGTGTCGTACAGATTTTCACGTAACACCCGAAATTCTAATTAGACTATGTAGAAATTTTGAACGCAGGATAGCGTGTAAAGAAAGAGCAGTTTCAGCACTTATTATAGGATAGCTTTTTATTTATTTTATTTTATTTTATTTGAATTCGTTTGAGGAATGAATTAACCAGGCTCTATTTTGTTTTTAATGTTGCCAATATTAGTTGCTTGACGTGTTTGTTGTCATTTATGACATAGTGTAATTTTTGTGTTGTTGCGTTTACTAACTACGATCGCTAATTTAAATAGATTTATAGATTGATCAAAGTTGCTCATCATGTGTACAATGTGTTGCCTATGCGAAAGTATTCAGGCACGGTATGGAGATCATTCAGTGGGGACACCTCGTGTCGGCGCCCTTGATCTTTCTGACCCGGTTTTAAGCCATTATCGGTGGTCTAGATGTTGCCACCCAATTTAAAAAGTATCACAAACGCTTCATTTGAAAATTTTGAAATTGATTCGTGTACCCATTTTAGTACACTTTGTGCAAATGAATTTTTGGAAAAGAATTAAAAATAGTGTGATAACAATAACATCTTAGAAACCACACAGTCTATTATAATAAATAATGAATTAAGCCCCTATAACAGAGATGCCGTGTTGAAATTCAGATTTCGCCCCGCGTCTCTGATTACTATTTTACGTTTTATTAATTTCTTTCCATGATGGTTGTAAATGGTTGTAAAGTTCGACGTTATTAGAAAACACTAATATGCATTTAATTTTTTTACAAAAAAATAATAAACAATAAACAATGGTCCCATGAAAACATGAACATGAACAATGCTTTTTAAAATGTCTCTGTCAAAATTACACTTAACTGCAATAATTACACCGGAAGATCAACCTTAAACGATCAAAACCAATGAAACTAAACTGCCAAATTTCAAATATTTCACATTAAAGTCACAAGATAACCAAAGTACCCCAGTTCAATGTTCCAATGTGTAAGAAAGAGAAGTACCTTGCGTTGCGTGCCCTCATACGGTCACAAGACAAACGACCACCCATGAAAACGCGTCAGTAAAAATAGGGAGTTGTCCCTACTGAATGATCTCTATACGCCAATATTTCATGGAAGCTTTTGAAGACACAGCCATTGAATCCGCCCAACTCGAACCCAAAGTATGGTTCCACTACATGAGCGACACATTTGTCATATGACCCCATGGTCAAAACGCCCTTTCAGTCTTTCACGACATCTCAACAGTCAACACCCCGACATTCAGTTTACCATGGAAGTGGAAATGAACAATGTCTTCCTTTTCTTGATGTTTTAGTAACCAGATTAGATACCGATTAACTTCCTAATTCATCGAGCCAATACCATTTGTCAACCGGATAAACTAACTCCAAAAAGAATTAGAACATCTCCAAACATGTCTTCAACAAAATGGATGCGACCACCACACTCTCAAGTCTGCCATTCCGTTCGGCTTAATCCCAACTCTGACAGAACTTCAGATCGCCCGACTGCAGATTACCGACCACAATACTCCAAACGCAAAAAGTTAAAACAGTCTTCAAAGTTGCACAAATTCTTCAGTCGGTCCATAAAAATTCCAATTCAAGAACACAAACGTTGCCTCAAAACAGGTCTTCTGTCCCACTCTGCCTACGCTGAACACCAACATGAAACCGGTCACACCATTCTGTCTCAAAATTCGCAAGTTCTTTCCAAAGCACCACATTTCTATGACCCGAAAAACCGTGAAGCTAATGAAATCCATAAATGTCCTCATAATCTCAACCCATCTCAACCGAGATAATGGTTACTATCTGTCAAATATTAAGAAACCCCCACTAGATGCAATTCCTCCCACTCCGCCCAGAGCCGTCCAATCAACTTCAACCACGACGGTTCCGCCATCACATCTCTATGAAAAGGTCACAACTACATTCTTTGCTGCCAGAAGAGCTTCGCTTCTGGTTTGGTTGACATCCTGAGTTATCGTGCTGTTTTGCCTTCTTCCTAATCTTTCTAACCTTGCTTCTGAAGATGCCACTTACGAAAGTATGCGAAACGTCGAGCCTTAGGCTTACTTAACTGACACGGTTCCAACCCGGAAGACGATCAGATATTGACTCCGGCCGTGAAAGCCTCCGAAATCAGCATATTTAAAAGTTAGTTGGCAGGTATTGGGAGTGCCAACGTCAGAATTTACATTTCTGACACATTCGCTTCAATCACTCAAAATTTTTGTAATGAATCTTGATTTTCATGAATTAGCCCTAATTTTTTGTCGTGATGTCCAAGTCCACATCTATTCTTCACCAAATTTTTTAATGGAATCTGTTATAAACATGTTAATGTTTGTTTTTCATTACTTGCTGATAAACGAAGTTAATATCTTAATTGAAACAATAAACGCCCCTCTACTCAGACCACAGATAAGCCAGGTTTCCGAAGGTACGTGTGAATATAAGACTATCTAGTTTACTGTTTTTGTTCTTGCAGATATTAAACATCAAGACTCTAATTATCAAGGTGTAATATGTAGTCATCCTGATTTAGGTGTCGACGTTGTTTTCAAACAAAGTAGTTTATTCCAAGGCCGTTGGGACACTGCTCGTAAAATTAATAAAATATTGTCAACAACACTAAGTGGATACATGAGAAGAAACATGCAAAAGAAGAAATCAGATTTAGGGATCGGATCGAACAGCGATCAACAAATGCAAGCCGGTCCGATTACACAAACTTTATGCGAGTTATCAATGCAACAGCCCAACCTCAAAGACGAAGATCTTTACGCAGATTTATACAGAATTGAAAGAACGGAAGTAGTGCGCTTACATTAAATGAATAAGGGATTAAATAAGAAACAAACACTACATACGTGGAATAAATATCACTTATTTATGAAAATTAATTTCGTTAACAAAAGTAGAAGGTTAAAAGACATTCTTTAGTTTATTGAAACCCGATATCCTTAAATCATTTATTCTGATGGATGCGTCCGCGTTTTTTGTGATAGCCGATTCCGTTATCCAAATTCGATTAAGGAAGGTTTATAAACCCATATTAAATTATTTCGTCTTTCGTGGATACAGATATTTGCAAAATTAATCGGTTTAACATCGTAGCATACGATAACCTTCTAAACCCTGAAACTTTTTTACTTTCCTCTTTGTCTTTGCATTTTCTTGGATTAATATATATAGTTGCAAGATTCCCTCTGCGCCATTCCTTGGAAGAGTTAGCATTCCTTTCAGATCGTTATGATTTCTATCCATTTCCTCTATTCTTTTTCATTTTCATTTTTTTCCGAATATCTTATGGTGAACTCGTAGGCATCATTATTTCCTCTAGTGCCAAGCTTTTACCCCGTGTGTTCATTTTCTTTGGTAGTACGATCGACTTTTGACGGCCTAGAGGGTCATCGTCGTATGAAGTTGAATTCCCTCCCCCCTCCTCCCTTCACTTTGCGTTAAGACCTTTTAATTCTCACCATTAGGGGTAACCTTTAATATATATAAACATCGAAGAACAGTCTTTAATGACTCACATAAAAACAATCGTGGACTGATTCAACAACACCGGAAATGTTTCTAAAGGAAAGTCACCAAGAAGGTCTCTATTTAGTGAAGAGGTCGTCGAAGATTTGAGGGAAAGGATGGAGCAAAGCCCAAAAAAATCTTTTAGTAAATTTTCTTTGCAATCTAGTGCACCACTTGTCAGAAAAGTTTTGAAAAGAACACTACACATGCATCCCTATAAAGGTAATGTATCGTCAGTCCATGAACTTAAAGCAGCTGATTATCCTCGTCGTGTTGCATGCATATTGTCAATGGTTTCAAAAGAACATGAACAACAGAATTTTGGATTTATCATTTTTTTCCAACGAATCATGGTTTAGTTTAAATGGCTACCACCTCTTACCGGACTTGCGAAACTGGAAGCTGGTAGACTCTTTGACACACCTCTCTTCGCCTGGTTTCGTGTTAGCCTGCTCTTCACCACGATTTACGACGGTGGGAAAAACCTCTGGCTATCACCTGCTGGTAAAATATCCAGAACTGACGAAAGCATCGCGCCCAGATAGTCAAACGTCCAGCCCCGTAGCGCAACACATATACACAACCAGTCCTCCTGTAGCTGAAACACCCCGCAGACTACCACTGGGGAAACTCAAGACTGTCAATTCAGATTCAGTACATGGGTGGTGTCGTTCCTCTAGCAGTCCATGGGCCAGCCCGTTGCACGTCGTGCGGAAAAAGAATCCTGAGGAATGGCGTCCTTATGGGGTTATCGAAGGCTGAATGGTGTAACGATTCCGAATAGGTATCCCATACTCCAGATCCAGGATTTCTCGACCAGACATCACCAAATTCGAGTCCCCAAAGAGGATATATCCAAGACTGCAGTGTATACCCAATTTCAGTTATTTGATTTCACACAAGCTTTCCAGAGACATCTTAATACGGTGCTTGGTGACTTAGACTTTTGTTTCGCGTACATAGATGACATTTTAGTTTTCACCGTGAACCCAGAGGAGTATGTGCGATACCTGAAAACTCTTTTTGAAAGAATGAGACAACATCAGAGGCCATCGTGATTAACCTGGCAAAATGCGTGTTCGGGGCAAGTGAAGTAGAATATCTTTGACACAACATTTCCACTCACGGGACCCGCACAGTAACCGCGAAAGTGACAGCGATAAGTGACTTTCCGAAGCCGCAAACGGTGAAAGAGTTACGTAGATTTCAAGGCATGATTAACTTTTATCGCTGTTTTATAAAAAATGCCGCGTCTATCCAAGCCCCGCTCCGCGTGTGCCTGCAAAACTCCCGAAAAATGACAAAACGCCAATCAGCTGGACTACAAAGGCGGAAGAAGCGTTCATCCAGTGCAAGAACGAGTTGTCTAGTGTTGTGCTGCTAGCTCACCCTTCGGAGAACGCCTCATTAAGGCTGACCACCGATGCCTCGGATACAGTCATGAGGGCTGTGTTGGAGCAGGAAGTTAGATGCAACTGGCGCCCTCTAGGATTTTTTTCTAAAAAGTTCACCAGCACCCAACGAAGGTACTGTATGTACGACCGTGAGCTGCTCGCAATATATGAGGCCATTAAGTTTTTGCGCTACATGGTGGAAGCAAGAATCTTTACGGTTAGAACGGACCACAAGCCTTTGGTTTACGCGTTCAGACAGAACTCAGGTAAATCATCTCAGAGACAATTACGCCAACTCGAGTTCATCAGTCAGTTCACGACCGAGATCGAATGCATTCCGGGCGAAAACAACACTGTCTCGGCGCAGCAGTGATCGACCCAGAAGAGCTCGAGACCCGGAGTTGAGAAACCTACTGAATTCCGGTACCAAACTGAAGCTAGAAAACCTCACACCTATCACCGCGGATACGGCGATCTGGTGTGACACATCAACAGGAAGAGTATGCCCATACATCCGCTCCATTTCCGAAAGGGGGTATTTGACATGGCGCATTCCAAGTCACACCCGGGTTGCAAAGCTACATTCAAGGCGGTGCAAACAAGTTTCGTGTGGCCATACATGGAACGCAGTATAAAAAAGTGGTCGCCAGCGGTAAGTAGGCATACACCCCTCAAGCATTTCGAACTTCCAGAATGCAGGTTCGAACACGTGCACATGGACATCGTCGGCCCATTATCACTATCACAGGGACACCGGTACTGCCTCATGATGACAGACAAGTTTACCCGATGGCCAGAAGTAATACCGATGATTGACATGACAGCGGTGACGGTGGCGAAAACCTTTTACACAACCTGTGTCGCGCGTTTTGATTGCTCCCATCGCATCACGACTGACCAAGGCCGACAGTTTGAGGCCACGCTGATGTCTTCCTTCACAAACCTTTTGGGTACTAGACGTTGCCGACCACACCGTATCGACCACAGCGCAATGGGATGATTGAGAGGTGGCATAGAACGATCAAAGCCGCCATCATGTGTCACGAGACCAGTGACTGGTATGACATCCTTCCTACAGTGCTGTTAGGTTTAAGAACAACAATCAAGAATGACCTTCAGTGTTCTTCAGCTGAGCTGACTTACGGAACACAACGACGAGTCCTAGGGGAATTTTTCTTTGCGAACGACGAGCCAGAAGTCGACCCTAACAATTTCGTCGACAAATTGAGACTCCAGATGCATATCCGAGGAACACAAGCAAGCCACCATGGCCACCACGAGACTTTTGTTCACCCAGAGCTGTTGGACTGTTCTTACATCTTTCTCAGACATGACTCAGAAAGCCGTTACAACCACCATACACCGGATGTATTACGACGTACCGACAAGGTGATAGTCAGAAACGGAAGGAAAACTACAGTGAGTCTGGACCGAGTAAAACCGGCTTTCATATCAGCAGAGTCCTGCACTCCGATACATGTGCGGCCCCCAACGCAGCAGGGCCGGACAACACCTGTGTTGACGAGCACCACCACGAGGTCAGAAAGAACGGCTACTGGGAGGGAAGTACTGCGGACGCCTGGAAGTAGGCAACCACTTATACACCTCAAGCGCAGCCACCTGAATTTCCAAGGCGCAAGTCTAAGGAGAAAATGCCATGGTCAAAAAGTAGCGCTGTAGTAGATTTCACGCATGCGCATTAAACTTTAAAAATGTATTTTATCAATGCCTTCTAAACTTACAAGCCATGATGTTGAAAATCGGCAACACTGTAAGGTAGTCCGATGTCATCCAATTCACGTGAGCAGTTTGTGTTTGAATTTTTTTACTTTTGAGACGGTTTCTGTTATTTAAAACCACCCTACGGTAAGCTTTAACTTTACTTTAAACCCAGTTGTAAGTCTATTACAATTGTTGTTGCTGTCAAGTCAAGAAAGCCATTATTAATTAACAGATTAATGTACCTAACCTCAAAACTTGATTTTCTGCAGATGCCTCGTAGGTGTTGCGTTCCAGCCTGCAAATCTAATTATGACAGTGAAATTAAAAAAACCAACACTACTGTGACAACATTTTCCTTTCCGAAAGATCCTGCCCGGAAAAATGTGTGGATACGAGCAATACCACGTAAAGATTGGACCCCTTCTGCTACTTCAGCAGTTTGTATTAATCATTTTAACGATCGACATGTTGTTAAATATCAAGTTTGTGTGAAGCCAAATGGGGAAAGGCAGCAAGTCTTGTTGAAATATCCAAAACTTACAAAGGATGCTGTACCCCAAATCTTCAAAAATTTACCAGGATATCTCTCAGTGGATTTAGTGCCAGAGCGAAAAGATCCAGAACAAAGAAGAATTCAGTTGGAGAAACAGCATGCTGCAAAAATTGAACAATTTTTGTTAAGTGACAATATCAATGGCTACGATAATTTTGTAAATAACTTTAAAAATCATCTACAAAATCTATCAGAGTGGAGTTTTAAAGTGGTAGAAGATGGTGTGTGGTGTTATGTGCTGAACATTGATCATCAAACTGACTGTGAAATTCAAGAACTTACAGTCGTTTGTAGTGTTAACATAAGGAACGATTTAGGAGTAAAAGTGTTTGTAAAAGGTAATGAGATATCTTATAATGACTTGCGGTGGCTGTTTACTGGTACTCTAAAATTAACCAAATGGTCACAATTTGAAAATTTATTGTTGCGGTACAAAAATGTACCACATAGAGAAGATACTGTTCCTGAACATTATATAAATAAAGCATATATTTTTTTAGAAAAAGCACATGCATTGTTGAATGATGATCATGAATATAAATATAAGAAGTATTTGGACAGTATTCTGCAGCAGCTTAAAATGTTATGTCAGAAGAAGAGCAAATACAGTTCATCAGTATTATTATTTGCATTTATGATATATTCACAATCTGTGCCTGCATACAATATTTTGAGAGACTACTTTTTTCTGCCACATAAACGATATTTGCAGCAATTGTCTTCAGGTTTCAATGTTTCAACAAATGATTCTACCAGTACAACACATTATATTGAACATTTAGCTAGCCATTTAACTGAAAGAGAAAAATATGTGGCCCTATTGATTGATGAGATTTATGTTCATAGTCATATAAGTTTCAAAAATAATAACATTGTCGGTATGGCAGAAAACCATCCTACACAGGCGGCAAAAACTGTTGTAACATTCATGATCACTGCAGTTTTTGGAAATTTTAAAGAAGTGGTTCGTCTGTATCCTGTAAATAATCTCACTGGGGAAGAATTAAAACATGCTGCATTGGAAACAATCAATGTGGTTCAGAAATGTGACTTTAAAGTAATACTTATTATTACAGATAACAATCGATTGAACCAAAATTTTTTTAAAAATTTGGTATCAGGTGATACATTTTGTAATCCGTTACACAGTAATATGCCTATATTTTTAACGTATGATTTTGTGCATTTATTCAAAAATATTTATAATAATTGGTTAAATAGAAAAGATAATTTGAAAACATTCACTTACCCAGATTTTAATAATTTCGAACATGTTAAGCAGGCACGTTTAGAACATATTAGGATATTTTATAATCAAGAGAAAGAATTAATGGTTAAGAAAGCTTTCAAATTGAATAGGAAAACCTTATATCCCAATAACTTTGAGAGGCAAAATGTTAAGTTGTCGGATAATGTATTTCACGACACCACTATCGCAGCATTAAAAACAATTCCAGCCTATCATGAAACTGCTGATTTTTTGCAAATAATCAGAAATTGGTGGGATATTGTAAACACCAAGAATATTGTAAAAGGAATTGCTAAACGCAACAGATTTTCAGGACCTATTCACAGCATGGACGATGAAAAAATTCAGTTTTTAAAAAAATTTTTGCTCTGGTTAGAAAAGTGGTCAACCTTAAATAAAGACGGATTATCGAAGGATACGGCTTCAGCATTATTTCGAAGTACTTCCATTTTGTTAAAGTTTGCCGAATATTCTCTAACGACTTTGAAAGTAAATTATATTTTACCAGAAAAATGCGAAACAGACAATCTGGAAGAACGGTTTGGGCTGTATCGCAGATTATCTGGGAGCAATTACCATGTTTCTGTCCGACAGATTCTAGAGTCTGAAAAAAAGTGTAGACTAAGAAGACTCTTTCAGTCAGTAGGTGCTGGTACAATTTCTTTGAAGGACGCATTAAATTACGATGTATCTGAAGTTAGCGATGAAGATATTTCTGATTTTGCCGTTATTTTAGAGGACAGTTTTCATCTAGAGGAAGTTGTACCTGATGAAGCTGTTCAGAATTATATTTGCGGATATGTTTCACATTCAGTATTAAAATCCCTGTCATGCTCTTTATGTGAACAATTATTGAGAGTAGGAAAAGGTTGTGGTACTGGAGATGTATATTTTGATCACCTACAGAGAGGAGGGCTGTCTGTTCCTTCACACGAAATCAAATATGTTTTTAATCAAATGGCCAGCATTTTTCAATTTATCATTACATCAGAAGATTATGAAAAAAAATTCTTTCAATACTCCAACCACAAAAACATTATTACTAAATTAACCATGCGTCGATTACAGGAGAATGATTTTTTTTAAATGTTGACGATGGTTGTGCTTGTGGGACAAATCTTCAAGATATTTTCAAAAAAGTATGTTCTATAATGGCCAATATTGTATTAAACAATTATTCTAAAATTTGTAACGATTTTGTGTATTCCAGTAAGAATAAAAGGAAGTTGGATACTCTGCAAAAATAAGTCTTAATATTATGGTCTTAATTAAGTTTCATTTATACATATTATAACTATTATAGATATGTAGGCGTTATGTGTTACCGACCAATATTATGTATTTGTGTACTGAATATCATTTATTTTGTTTAATATAAACTGATTATTAATTTTTTTATATTTTTTTCAAGCCCTTCAATGTGCGATCCGATCTCGGGTCGAATTTTTAAAAGCTTTTGAATTAAGAGCCCAATTTAAGCATTTTCGGTTTTCAGTAGTGGAACAATTAACTCTTGTCACGGTCTTGAATTGTCTTATTTAAAAATATCGTAAGTACCTACATATATGAAATCACACTCTTTTGAAAAACCATTCACATTATTTTTTTGCGGTATTTAATTTCATTGTTGTGTCGTAAAATTAACATTCACAAACAATATTACAGCAAAGGCATTTTAAAGATATCAACCGTCAGTTGAAATTATTATTTTTTGATTTTTTTATCCGTTGTAATATTTTTATTGCTTTAAACTTTTTCGGCATTGGAGATTAAATATTGAACGATTATGCGCACACTGCAGATACACGCGACCAAGCGACATTTAGCGCGTAGGACTACCTAAACAGCCTACTGCAGCGTTGCCAAATGTAACAGCGTGGCTTGTAAGTTTAGAAGGCATTGATTTTATACAAATTTAAGCATTGTATCAAAGGGTTGCCTATTCCCTTTATTTGGAAGGTGGAATTTGACAGATCAGTTAATGTATGATCAACAGTAGGCGGAAATTTATCTTACGGATGCAATTCCCCACTTGAAGCAAGGTGTGTTTTACGTAGAGTAGCGGGGACGCTTTGATCTGGTCCACAAGATTGTAGCCAGTGCGTCGCTAGGAGTGTTTACAGCTTGTTAAAAAACTACTTATACAGGGTGTCCCAGAATTCGCGCCATTCCCGTGAATGACATGTTCCCTGTCCCGAACTGTGCCGTAATTCGCAAAAAGAATTGTCCAGGCTTTAACCGTGTGAGAACTGGAAGGCGATTAAGTTGACCAATAGAGAGGCTGCTTTTATATCCGAACGTTTCTATGTTCAAAGTTACCTATGCCAAGAACAAAAAATCGGGTAATACTAAAGTTGAATGAATTTTTTCCGAATCCCCCTCCGTCAACAAAAGGAAACAGAAGTGTGGTTATAAATTTAATCATTTTGACAATTGTTTGTCATAAACTGTCACGAAGTTTATCACTGACCTGAAGAGACGCTTCTGCGCCAAAGATGACTGATTAATGTACACAGAGACGTCAAGGTTTACTTTAAGGCAAGTAGCATGGGACAGAAGTTATTTCTGCTGCCATTCTAGTTAAATTGTGTTTAACTGGGCTGTACATGTCATAAGAGAAGCTGTTTCATTTCATCGTAGGCAAATAATACATTTATTACTATTCTACATAGAGTAGCTACCGAAGAGCAGGTATTAGAAGTCATTTTCTTAGAGCCCCGTGAATAATCGTCGGCACCCAGACCAACATGTGTTTCACCGATTGTTACATCGAGCAAGAGAAGATCTTTTCAACCTAGTCGGAAAGGCCGTGCTGGGGCTCCACGGAATGTACGTGTAGGTGCTGAAGAGCAAGTGTTAGGAAACATGGAAGCGGATCCTAAGAGAAGTGTCCTCTACGTAGCGCAAATTAGTGGATGTTCAAGATCGACCACTCATCGTATCCTTCAAGAGAGAAGACTGCATCCTTACCATTACACGAGAGTGCAGCATCTGCGACCAACCGACTACCCGCGACGAGTACATTTTGCTCAATGGTTACTGCGACAAAATGAACTAAATCCTGATTTTACACGGCGCATTCTTTTCACCGACGAATGTTCATTTTCCCGAGAAGGAATGTTTAATGCACACAATTGGCATTTCTGGGCACACGAA